AAACGACATGCACAATATTGAACTTTATCGAAATAAATACTAACGCAGCAGAATCTATAATTAGGATATGGACGTTTACCTTTTATTATTTTTTTTTTTTTTGCCGACTATGAGACGATGTGGAGTACCGTTGATGAAGTTCGTCTGAACACTACAATCTAATGGGCGGATAGATTTGGCCTTCAATCGATTCTAATCCATAGGTTCCACGAAAGTTGATCACACGGCATGCGGGTATCGGTCGTCGGGTGCAGCGGGCAGCTCGTGCGCGACGGGCGCGTACAGCGTGCGGGTACCCGGAGCAGGTGCGCGGGTCGCTGGTGCGTGTCGCGCGTCGTGCGTTGGCGATGCACTGGGGGGTCGTGAGCGTGACCTGGGCACGCGAGGACTGGCGGTTGATCGCACGCGGGTGTGCTGGACACGTCTCCTAGGTGTTCGCGGAATGGTGCACGCATACTCCTTTGCGCGTTGGGGTGCGCGAACGGCGACTGGCGAGATGTGCGGGAGAACAACAACGAGCAGGTGGTGCTGGGATCTCACGGGCGTCGCACGCGGATGCTGCTGGGAGTTCGGCGATGGGCCTGGCTGAGCGCGACTGCGAGCGACAACTTGCGGTGGCGATCGGCTGGGCCTGGCTGACTTCTGACGGCGGAACACAGCAGCGAAAGGCGGCAGTTTTGTGATGATGATGACCGAAAATATATGTATATTAGAGCTCAATATATTGTACTAAAAAGCCTTCTAATGGATTACCTAAACACCTACTTCGATCAAACTTGGTGGAGCGTTTAATCGAATCTCCCTAACTCTCGAACAAAGATATTTCTCGCGCGTATGTAGAGGAGAAAACCGGCCAACACATCTATGTTGGAGAGATTGCGACATGGTGTATTTATAGGCTCCATTAGGGACCTTAAGGAGGTGCTAAATATGGGCTTATCCCATTTAGGCCTAGGAATCCTAATTCTACTCCAATACTAATTTAATGTAAGAAGGAGATCTCCTACTAATCTCTATCTTCTGGAAGACTCCTTAGTCTCCTAACACTAGAGAAGATCCTTGTAGGAATATCTTTCCTAATTAAGTTAATAATCATATAATAGAATTAATTCCTAATTTAGGAAGCCTAATTCTACTCCAATTAATTCTTTAATGTAGGAAATATATT